GTATAAGAGACAGGCTTTGTATGGCCAATGGCGTATCTAGTCTTGAAATGGGGGTGCTGATGGGGTGGAGCCATATCTCAGTGGCATATCTACGGGTGGGTGGAGGCGAAGGTGAAGTGGGGGCGAAGGTGACCGGTTGAGGGCGCTAATTCGCAAAATAAGGTGATTTTAGGTGATTTTAAAGTACTTGACCGTGATTTTGCGCTACCCCCCCCCCCCCAGCGGTGAATACGCCTGAGATGGCCCAGAATTGTGCTTTTAGACCCAATATTAGGGACCGGCAATAAAAAGATAACGTTATTTGCATGCACTTTTCTTATTGCCAGAGCGGTTTCTGTACAGTAGGTGCTGATGACATGTGATGGGATAGTGACATGGCGAGGATGAAGAGTGTAGAACACCACAGACTTAGTGTGTGTATACATACATAAAAAAAGATTGAGTAAGTTGCATACGTATTTTTTTTCCATGAATTGATAAATCCCAAAAAGAAAGGGGGGGGGGGGTCCTGTGGTTCTTCCCAGGAAAAAATGTTGATTCCTAGGTGGCGGGAAATTAACTTTCCGGACTTCTGAGTTGTCAGCTCACGGATCCTGAAAAGGTAGGTCTATATTAAATTCTTTTCTTTTCTCCATTTTTTTTTGTTGCCCAAGGGAAGGGTCAGGACCAATGACCCCCACCCCCAGATCCGCCAATGTGAATTGCGAGAAAATGTAACTCGGTCGGGTACTGGATAAACATTCTCTTTTCCATCCTTCTCCTCCTTCTTTTCTTGCATTTCTTTCCTATCATACAAAAATCTCAAAATCTCCAGTTTACAGTCCATTTTATTTTAACAAATGAAAAGATGCTACGGTTGAGGCATCCAATGGAACAAAAATGCATGGATAGAAATACATTTTCATTATGAGTGACGTTATAGTGTAAATAAACAATGTTACGTAATACGAAATTCACCAATGAAATTACAAGAATCTATTTAGGTGACATAATTATTTGAATGTTGTAATATGAAATTATTTACCCCTATATAGAGAGAACATGCAATATTCATCAGTTTCCAAACAATTGAATATGTAATGGCCTTCATTCTTATTTTGAGATAATAATACTAGTCTTACACAACAGAACTGCGATGCCTCTACGCACTATCTCTTTACCCCAGCGATTGGAACAAATTAAGCTCACTGGACAGTGACGGATACAGGGGTGACAAAAGTGCGAGTACCATGGCAGCAGCATAACATATTTTAATTACAAATCAGGCATATATTTAGGAAAAACTCCATACGACACTTACAAGCAGAAGCATGCTGGATCCGCCCTGATGGAGAATGTTCGAAAATGTTTAAACCCAGCGACGAATTTAGGGGTGGGGGCGGCTCGCCTCCCCCCCCCCCACCTTTTGAAAGGTGTAAAAAAAAAGAAAAAGAAAAAACGAAAAACCTGAACGCCTCAAATTTTATTTTCGGGCGTCTAAAACACAGACATTTCGCGGGGCATGCCCACTGACCTCCTACTTCAATGTTGTCTCTATAAGCCCAAATTTCGTCCCCACCCCCCTTTTGGACATCTCTGGATCCACCCCTGAAACCTACTAGTTTCCGATTATTCCTCAACAGAAGACCTCGTTGATACAGTGTCTTTGTCTACAGACATGTTGCCAGATTGGCAATGGAACTTTCCATCAAGCCCGTCCCCTTGAATTTTGTTGCCAAGGTCTCACAAAAGTATGAAGTAATTGTGGGCCAAGTGAACATTCCTGGTGCTGTTTTGATTGGTCAATTTTTAAATTCGATTTGCACTGTGGAAAGATCCAATTACAAGACACAGGTTTGACCATTTGACAAATATATTACTGAGTAAATCTATTTTATTAAAATTTAGCTAATTTTTTCCAAATTAACCAATGTCTTCATCAGTCATTAAAAAAAATTTAAATCACTTTTCATTTTAGTATTTTCAGCATAGTCTACCTGTTAATTTAAAGATTTTTTATTAATTTATCAAGAGAGGAGCTTAGCTCAGTCGGCTAATCTGGTGGTAGCCACTGTGTGTGCGCTGAACCGTGGAGATATCTAGGTCCCCGGTTCAATTCCCATCGCTGCCTATCCTTGTATTTCAGCTGAGGGCTGAAATACAAGTTACAATAGCGCACCGTCTGTCGGATGAGACATTTAAGCCTTTGGTCCTGTGTACATTTATGGCCCATGTGCACGTTAAAGAACGCAGTAACTCTTTGGAAAAGAGTAGGGGATTGTCTCCCGGTGTGCTGCCCAATCACCACCAGAAGGACCCCACTGGAACTAAGTCTTCTAGACGTTTGTGGGCTATCCTTGGTGTCTACACTGCATAAATCCAATCCAATACAAACATAAAATGAATTTATTTCTGTATTAGAATATTCAGTGACACAGCACTAATTTCACTAGTGGATCACACACAAAAAAGAACTTAATATCAAAATATAAATCAGATTATTATAATTAAATATAAACTAAATATAAACAAAAGAATCATGATTAAATTTCGATGAGGGCAAGAAAACAAAATATGTGAGTAACAAGAGAGAGAATAAAATATATAAATAAATAGAAAAACTACTCACTGGTTATTTATTTGATTTTCCGAAGTAAAAGCTTCAAGTTATGAATATTACTCTCAAGCAAATAAACATTGTTACATATTATAGTTTTCATTTTAGAATTTCTCTGTTAATGTACAACTTGGGACATTTTCGTCAAATATTCCAATAATTACTTGAAATACAGGAAAATAGTCCCCTGAACACTTCTTTGAGGTAAAACCAGAGGCGGATCCAGAATTTTTTAAACGAGGGGATATCAATTTCATACACACGTACAGAGATGTAATATACTTATAAAGATAAATATGTATCCAATAATTTTATGATTTGTGCTCAATATATGTAGGTATGAAATATTGTAACACTTATTATTTGTATGCCATTTTGTAATTGTTTCCATTAAAAAATAAGGAACGCCCATCGAAAGTGGTAAGCCAATCAGTTCACAAGGGCCGTAGAAGCTTTATTGTTTTTCTGAGTCTTCATTTTTCTATACAGATAAAAGTCCATGAATGGTTTAGTCTGAAAGCTACTTTTCCGACATCAATAAAATGTTAATGATCATAATATGCTGTGTATAGCGCCCTCAACCATACCCTCATAGGATTTCTAGGTCAACATGTCTGACGTCAGGATTCACATTCTGTTGAGAAAAGAAAAACAACACTATGTATCAAGTCCTGTCTCAAGGCTATCATTATTTGACAACAAAATATGTGACATGTCTAAATATGGTCATGATGATATCACATCATGGCCATATATAGGCACATCATGACTATATATGGGCATACAACAATTGATTGTAAAAGAAAATTTGATAATCCAGACAAAGCTAAACAGCTAATCTAATATAATCTGGTCATTTATATAGCACCTTTCTTTCCAGATACAGAGCGCTTCTTTTCCCTGGTCATTGGGTCCACATGCTTACGTGTTGCTGCTGGTAATCAGCGCAGGAGCAGGAAACCCCACCAGGTACCCATTTACATTCCTGGGTGTAGAGAAGCAATGCAGATGAAGTACCTGGCTATACCTGGCTATGGATACATTGCCAAATAGACAGGTTACAATGGCCAAACTATAACTTTACTGTGATTACTTTTTAAAATGATGTAAAATGTAAGTAACCTTAACTTTGTTATATTACACTGCCATTGAGGTTACTGGAAGCTGCCATCTTCGAGTGGGAGGAGGCAACCCCCACCAGGTACCCATTTATACTCCTGGGTGGAGAGAAGCAACATAGATAAAGTGCCTTGCTCAAGGACACAAGCGAAATGCACAGCGAGGGATTGAAACCCTGACCTCGAGTTTGGGAAACCAAACCATTCCCGCTGCGCCAAAACGCTTCCACATCGGCATAGACGGTCTCAAACGCACAGCGAGTTTAGTTACATGGTGGAGAGCTCAGTTTAGACAAGTGTACTAGAAGGATGAATTTCATTTCATTTATTTATTACGCCTCAAAAACAGGTCTTGGGACATCTAATGAAGCCATCGTGAGCCAGAAGTCGCAAAACATTAAACTTTCAAAGAACAAAGACAAAACAAGGAAAACCCACAAACAAGATACAAAGCAATAAAAGACTAAAACTTATAAATTCATTTTTTTTTTTTTTTTATAATTGCAAAAGATGGAGTTTATGGCTCTGATCTTAATTCTGTTTTTGGCTTATCTGTTAAAAATGTTTGATGTCGTAATTCTGCTATTTCCTTATTTGATGTTCAATTTTTTTGAGTTAATGCTACTAAATTTAGTTTTATTGTTCGAATACCTAAATTTCATAATTCGCTTGTTGGTAAAGATAATTCTATTGATATTTATTATGATTCGTTTAGAAAGTTTAAATGTAAAATTAAGTTATATATTTAGATTTTTGACTGTTTGTGTATACTGTGTGTGACGGGCTACCCGCTGCTAAATGTGAAATGAAATGAAATAATATAAAATAAAATTGAACTAAAATTGACCATAAAGAATCTATTAAAAAAAAGTCTGAAGATGAGCAAGTAACGGAAGTATCCTCAACTCTATTTGGAAGAGATGACCAAAACACAGGAAAATGATTAATTAATAAATGGTAGGGTAACAGTAAGGGAATGGGAGATTCATTATAAGATTTAATGGTTACAGTATGTTACTGATTTCACTACAGATGTTATGCTTATATAAGCATCTGAACACAAATTTCTTATATGCGAGCACACAAACTATTTTAAAAACACATCGTACCTTAATTTCTTTCTCTATACGATCTACCTCCATGCCAAGATTATCAATGATATTTTCACCGTGACGAAGCATAAACTGCTCTAGTTGTTCTAAGGTTTCAAACTTCTTCATATCCTTTGTAGAGAGAAGAGAAACAAAAAAACATACCGTTAGCAGAATTCATTTACTGATCTTATGCTTCATTTACTGATCTTAATATTAATGAACGTTTATACTGCACCTTGTACCAGTAAAGTTAACCTGAATAAAAACATAGTAAGAGAGAACTAAATTTTTGTTAGTAAGCGCTTGAAAAAAAAAAAATGTATCAAGAAATAACCAACAATGTAAACAGATAACCAGGATAGGGAATCGAGATTTTAATACAGTAATGATATTGACTTGTACTTCATATCCTTTGTAGAGAAGAGAAACAAAAAAACATACCGTTAGCAGAACTCATTTACTGATCTTAATATTAATGAACATTTATAATGCACCTTGTACCCAGTAAAGTTAACCTGAATAAAAATATAGTAAGAGAACACTACATTTTTGTTAGTAAGCGCCTGAAAAAAAAAAAAAAAAATGTAAGCACTTGAAAAAAAAAAAAAAAATGTATCAAGAAATAACCAACAATGTAAACAGATAACCAGGATAGGGAATCGAGATTTTAATACAGTAATGATATTGACTTGCCTACAAAATATTAATTAAAATCTAGATACAAGCTCCTATAATAACTTGCAAGCTCTTTGTATTCATAGGTAAAAGTTGCAGCATAAAAAGTTACCTGTAACATAGATTCTATATCTTGGTGATCAAGGTACGACCTGGTTACCTCTTGTCCATCAAAATCCACTTCCGCCTTAAATCTGATTTTATCCACTCCCATAACAGTGGCTTTCACATCATAAACACCTCTGCAATTATTACATATTTTGTATTTTTTCATAATTAATTCATCAACATTTTAGCACTGACATTGTTATAATATGCAATTATTTGTCCATATCAATAGTGCCCTCTCAGTTTTACATGTTAAGGGTAACCAAGCTTTTGAAGGTTTCACCACTAAAGAGTTTATAAAGAATGTTATGATGCGTGTATATCTTTTTAATATATTTCAGACACTCACAAAATACTCAAGCATACAGATACGACCATTTGAAGATACATGTAGCACCCATATTTTTTCAGACCCTTTTTATTTTTCCCAAATTTTTTTTCCCAACTCTCTCCTTTCAGCCTAGTCCCTTCCACTTTAAAAGCACTTAAGTGCAACCTTAATGTTAAATGGTTATAAATATTTAAAAAAAAAAACATAACCTAACTCCTCCACCCTATTTTCCTTAAAAATAATTTTTGTATAAGAAGTGAATGTGGGATTGGAACACCCTAAATCTCTTAGTTATTCCAAGTCATCTTGTGAGGGGATGGCCACACAGACAAATGATTATATGTCTACAAAAACTTGTTTTCATTGTCCAATTCACCAATAATGAAACTGATTTAATTGGCTCATACTCTCACCTGACCATGACATCATTTTCAAGGGCCTCACTAATATGAGTCAACTGATCCTGTGGTATTGAACGACCAACTAGTGCTTCAGTGTTTGTGTAGATTAGAAATGTTGACACTACTCCTATGAAGAGGGACAAAAAAAACAGCAGAGAAATCAATACTAAATTCTCCATTTTCTATCCTGTTTATAAACAATACTACTCAAAATTATTGATGTAATGATTTAACCTTTAATAATTAGAAGGTCAGTTAGTTCATGCCTATTCCTTTATAAAGTAAGTAAAAGACAATGGCAGTGTAAACTGTTAGTGGTATATGCATTTTTAATGCACCTCTTCCTTAAGGTTATAAAGCGCACTTTTCCCTTGTCATTTGGTCCACATGCTAAGTGTTGCTGCTGGTAATCAGCGCAGGAGCAGGCAACCCCAACAGGTACCCATTTATACTCCCGGGTGGTGATCGAAGCAATGCAGATAAAGTGCCTTGTTCAAAAATACAAGCGAAATGCACAGTTAGGGATTAACACCTTGATGTCAATGTTGGGAAACCAAATGGTTCCTGCTATAAAAACTCATGGTCATGCATTTAAATGGCTACTTGTATGGCCAACCGATTAGTAAAGTTATAGTCCACATAAAGTTTTTAATTACATACTAGTGAGATTATACTTTTATTAAACATAACTAAAACTTGTTTAGTATATATTTCAACAATTCACAAAGAATATGAACATGAGTTCCAAGATCATGAACTTAGCTCAGGCAGGTTCACATCAAACATCATGATATGATATTGGTTTGATGTGAGCCAGCCAGGCTTATTCTTCTTGGTCAAGATAATGCTAACACAAAGATTACCTAGAAGACCTCCTATCATAAGGGAACCAAGAGCATCATAGACAGGGCTTCCAGTTAATGATGTCAGTCCCATACAGATGGCAGCAACACTAACGCCAAGAACTGCGACAGAATCTTCAAGTAACACCACATTGACACTAGGGTCCTTGCTCTGCAGAACTTGACAAGAAAAGAATAATTTTAGCCTTGTTTCCAGGGCAGGAGATCACTGTGATGATCGCATTTATCTGTTGATATAGGTGTTAAGTGGCAGTGTAAACGGTATTAGTAGCTCCGCATAACAGATCAGTAACCGCGATGATCTACGGAGTTAATCACGCATCGCAAATTAGCTGTTGTTGCTGGAAGTCGCTGTTGATAAACAGCGTAAATACAACTATTATTATTTGAAAAAATATGTTTTTATCAATTACATACATTTTTAAACTTATATGACGAAGTGTTTCCAAACAAGCAGCAATTCACATGTTTTTTCAGGTCAGTTCTAATCATGTGACTTCATGGTACAACAACAACAACAACAACAACAACAACAACAACAACAACAATAATAATACTACTACTACTACAAATAATAATAATAATAATCTGGCAAAGAATAGGCCATGATGACAGGCTGATGATGATGAATAATTTAAAAAAATAACAATGGATACCACAAAAAAATTTATAGAAAAAGCAGTGAATAATTTACCATAATTCTTAAAGGAAATTTGTTTCTTCTTTGCTTGTGCCTTTATATGACTAACAGCTGCCATAAGTGTGGCTAACAGAAAATTAAACATGGATAAAAAGTTATTTAAATTTTGATAATAATCTGTACATATTTTCAAGCCCTGTACACGATTTTTTTTCCCGTACAAAACATTTGCATGAAACTACACTCGGGCCTTCTCGGATTGATTCGACTCGAGTTTGATACGAACAAGAGCAGGCACTTCGCAATGTCGTGACGCTCGAGTATTCTATTACCTTTACTGTATTGTTCTTTATATATTACGGTATGTTTACCTACGGTAGGCCTATGAAATCTTACCGATTTATGGGATGTAATACTACCTACAACAACAACAGCTAGTACCCCCTTCTATAGTAGTAGTACCAGAAGTAAATAGGTAGGCCTACATTCCTATTAAAGGCTAGAGCAAAAGAGGCTAAACTAGTGGGCCTAGTTACAAGCTGAGTTACCGTAGGTCATAGGCCTACCTGCTAGCCCCATGTCAACTTGACCACAAGTATATCGTTATTATCTTTAATTATTCTATATACCTTTTTATATTTTTATTAATATTATTTTAATATTATTTTTATTAATGCAGTTTTAAGTATTGTAAGTGCATGTAAATGAAAAAAATAACAAAGGCAACACTTTAAAACTTTAATTTTGGCTTTGCATTCAAATCTCTTGGTAAATATTCAATAAATACACAGTAAATTGGGGCCAGTTGACTTTGGGCAAAGTTGACATGGAGCCGAGTTGACTTGGGGCCAAGTTGACATGGGGCCGAGTTGACATGGGGCCGAGTTGACTTTGAGCCGAGTTGATCTGGGGCCGCCGAGTTGTCTTGGGGCCGAGCTGACTTGGGGTCGAGCTGACTTGGGGTCGAGTTGACTCGAATTCGTCATGACATAGGTAGGCCTACTTAAATAAAGATGTTCACAATATGTAACTCAAATTCAAATAAGGCCTAACACTTTTTATTATTCATGCAGCGAAATCAAATATTACATGTCGTTTTAAACGACCCATTATATTAGCATGGTAACGTCAATGTGTTTTTTTCAAAATCAGACAGCGAGCAGCAATCCTGTATCTCAGAAGTTTTGTAGACGTTTATCTTTGGTTGATGACCTTTTGACCTCCAGAATTCAGATTTTCGAGTCGAGTCAGTCGAGACAGCCCGAGTGGAGTTTCATGCAAATGTTTCGTAAGGAAAAAAAAATTGCGCCCTGTACAGACTATCAAAATTTTATTTGACAAAAACATGTGACA